GCTGGCCAGCCGGGGGAGGCCTCCCGTGCTGCGAAAGAGGCAGCCAATGATCTCCGGCGCCGCCCTGCTCCACGCGCTGGCTGCTCGGACTTGCCGGGCCCGGCACATAGAACAGGGCGGCGCCGGACGTTGGAGAAGCCGAGCGGAGCCGGGGATCATTAGCCGCCTCTTTCGCAGCACAAGAAGCCTCCCCCAACTGGCCAGCTACTCTCCTCCTTCTCTGCCTGCTTGTTCTGTATGGCCGAGGGGGAGACGACCAGCCAGCTGGTTGGGGGAAGCTTTCTTCGCCGAAAGGCAGCTACTAATCTCCGGCTTTGCTTTGCTTCTCCAATGGTCCGGCACCACCCTGTTCTTCTTGTGCTGCGAAAGAGGCGGCTAATCTCCGGCGCCGCCCTGTTCTATGTGCTGGCTGCTCGGACTTGCCGGGCCCGGCACATAGAACAGGGCGGCGCTGGATGTTGGAGAAGCCGAGCGGAGCCGAAGCCACCTCGGCTCGCGTTGTTTTCTGAGCCCGCGAGCCTAGAGCCAGGGCGCTTTCATTGCACGGCGGAGCTTCTTGTCTCGGGAAAAACCGGGCGTCGTTGCTGCCCCCTGAGGGGAGGGTGATTCTGGGCTGCGCAATTGGGGGACTTCATAGCTTTGGGTGGGAGTGAGGACAGACGGAGTCCGTGAAGTGGGGCTTGCCTGCCCTTGCTGGCCGCCTCTGCTTCCTTAGGGGCGGGGAAGGGGGCTCATCTGGACCAAGGGTGAGTCTCCCCCTCAGGTTCCCCTGAAGGATCTTCCGTCGCTTTTGCCTTCTCCCTACATCTTCCCTCTGTTAAAATTCCCCCCACACACACACACTTATTTTCAGGCAGATAGATTTCGTGTCTGAGCATTCTCACATGACGGTGGGTCTTTCCCCCCCCCCCTAAAAACAGTTAAAAAAAGAAAAAATATATCCTCATGCAAGAACTTTTCTGCTTCCGATTACCCCCATGCTTAAAAGTTGCAAAGGAAACACGGAAGCAGGGAAGCGCCTGCCCAGCTCCGGAGCTCCACACCATTTTTTTTTCAGAGGGGAATCTGACTCGAGTATAAGCCGAGGGGGCTTTTTTCAGCACAAAAAATGGGCTGAAAAACTCGGCTTATACTCGAGTATATACGGTAGCTACAAGTCTATACCCTAGAACAGTGATGGCGAAGCTTTTGGGCACCGAGTGCCAAAAGCGGATGTTCACATACCCAAAATGCAAGGTGCGTGCCCCCGGCACATGCGCCCATGCCCTCGCGCATATCCCCCCCTGCCCCCATGTGCCCCACCCCTTCCATGCATGGCAGAGACCTGAGCTGGGGTGACGGCGCGCATGCCTACAGAGAGGGCTCTGCATGCCACCATAGGTTCGCCACTACTGCTCTAGAATCTCCCAAGATATATTTATTAGGATTAGAGTAGTATAAATTTAGTTTGGCAAGATTCTATCTATATGATATAAGCCAGCAGTCCCCAACCTTTCTGGCTCTTTGGAACAGCTGTTGGGGTGAGGGGCAAAGGGGATGAGTTTGTGCGTGCACCTGCTGCTTACACAAATGGAGCTTTTCACGCACACCCACTGCTTGCACGGTCCATTCTGGGTTGTGGTATTGTAGACCCCTAGTATGAGCAAATAAAGAACTGAACTTTGGCTGGATTATTCTTGGGCTGGGCCTGACATCAAGCGTAGATAAGTTATCTTTTTTTACCCATGCTCATAGTTTCCCTGGCTTAAGAAATACATAGCTGTTTGTGTGATCCTGTGAATATTTGTGTATGCGCATGTGCACAAGCCTTTGGGCAGCAACAATGCTTAGGAGATCCTATTGATTATTGCATTATATAGCAAGCTTTGACAACTCTCAGAGCTTCTCACAATGAACTGGCATTCTAGGAATGTGCAGAAGCTTGACGTTGGTAATCACTCTTGCAAGATGCAAGCATGCAAGCTGCTGTACACTTAGCTAAATACTGTGTTTTCTGAAGAGTCCAGTATATTAAATAAAATGTTATGACTAATGG